TGGGACAACTGTCCTTTCATCTGGGCCTATGTCTCTGATGAAAGACGGATGCCAGCAAATTCAATGACAATTTACAAAGTATAAGTGAGAACCTATATTATTTGTATTTATATTATCTAGATAATAGTACCATGCAGCACTTAAATCGTGCCACCATTTCAACCTGCTTGACACTCAATAACGGAAAGCCGATCTGTTTTACGCTGTCAAACAGAGATAAGAAAATGGGTTGATGTATTTTTGTAATAATAACCAAATGACAAGTTATTGTAATAATAACTGAATGACAAGATGCAACCAAACGAATTTTGGTCAAATCGTCGCACCATATTTTTCGACTCATATTGCTGTGATGTGCGAAAGGATAATGAACGTGACATTTTCCGCATATGAACGCCGGCGCATATCAATGTAACATGTGCCTCTTGCTGGAAAATTTGGTCCATGGCCCAGTTTGAAAGGCGAGATCATCTTGTTAATTACGCACCAGAGTGTGGTGTAGCCCAGCGACCACCAGTGCAATTGAAGTAGTTTTAATGGTTTAAATGGATAAAGAGTGTCCGCTCAAGTGACGTTCATTTTATATGAAAGGGTAATTTATAGCTGGATCGTCTTTTCGGAAATGCACTTTTGAGTAAAGTCTTGCGAAGGCTCCCCAACCATCAACGACTGTCCACCTTTTTGTCATCAGTGTACGGGGCTCCAGAGGGAAAGAGAAAACGTTTTGATTACAATGATCTTTTAAAACCCTACAAAACTCTTGTAGGGATAGAAAAACTAATTACACACTGCTAGTTTTGTGGCTGCTTACATGGGCTTCATTCACAAGGCAGTGAACTAATCGATGTGAAATGAATATGCTCAAGATTACATTATTATTGCAAGATAATATTGCTCACTGAACTGTCAGGCTGCAATAATTCGGCAAGAAGCTAAAAAACACTGAACATGGCCTAACCCTCTTTTATCCCCCTTCAAATTCAAGGATTTCAAAAGCCCATTTCATGTTGAACTTAAGAAGCAGATAAACTTGGACGCTGTTATACCGCAATCCCCGACTCCAAGTGAAAATGCACCTGCTACTCTAAAGCAAATGCCTGTGCCTCGCGGCCGTGGCCTAGCCGCCAGAAAGACACCTGTGCAAGATCATTGATCTCCTCAAGATAGTCTGACACCATATAAAAGCCAAAAAAAAAGGCAGTGATTTTTTTTCTGCTTTCCCAAATCTCCATCTCATAAAATCTAAAAGGAGGAGTGAGTAGATGATCATGTGAATAATGTCAATGTGAAAATAAGCAGATGTCCCTTTTTAAAGAGGTGCTTTTAAGAGAATAGTCGCTGTATTACCTTGGCGTTCAATTCTAAATTATGCGAAAGAGAGAGACTGGTGGTTTTTCCTGTTTTGTTTTTTGTTGTTTTTCTTTCAAGTTCTATAAAGGACGTGAAAACTGGTACAGAAATAGCAATAGTGTAAATCAACGCACAACGATTATTCGGTGATATGGTGGAACCGTTTGATGGGATTGGATTTAAATGGCACTATATAAACATTACAAATATATCGTTATTGAAGTCAGTACAGTAAATTCTTGTCAAGCGGAATCTCGGGGGAATGGATAAAGAAATCGAGCTATCTGGAGTTTACAATGCATCTGCAGCGTTCCCACCATTGATCTGCGACAGCCTCAATGAAGCAATACACATTTACCTTTTTAATAAGTCTAACGGCGCCTATTTTTTCAATTCAACCATTTTAGTTTTACTACCTTGGCATATCCCATTTTTAAAAAGAGTCTGTCCTGTTAAACATCACAGTGCAACTGGTCAGATTTTTGTTCCAGACTGCTATTGTTTTCTACTCTTAATAATCATATTAATTTTTTTGGTTTCTATGATTAATATTTTCCTTTTCATTACGTTCTCTGATTTACACCGAACAAATGACGAACATTTGGCTGACGCAACTTTGATCAAATGTGCATAAAAGAAACAAGCCCACACTTCATCTCTTGTAGCCGACGCCGACATGCCTGTCTGTCCCGGGCCTGACAAAGGAATCAAAGGATTGCGAGTTTTCTGTTGACTAGCCAACTCTATGTCTGTGGGCTGGCTATGAGTTAAGATAACCAAGATTCGTGCTTCGTAATAGCAGATTGGAATCAGAGGTCTTGAGGTCAGAAGCGCATCCCACATATCACATGTTGATAATTGTTTTATAATGTGTTACGGCTCGTTATCAAAAGGCTCACTATCAATGATGAGGGGTTTATAAAGATACACGAATGTCACATCCACGACTACCTTGAGTCGGGTGTCCTCTAAGGGTACACTTTGAGATTTGAATCAGCCAAGCGTGCTGAAAGTCACAGGCTTGTCTATCCAATGAACAATTTCTGTGCTCTTGTTGTAGGGCATCTGGCATTCCCCAACAAAGCCTTTACACTCCGAATTCCATCGGCAGTAGAACGCAAGGTTACATTTTCTATAAACCTCATTTGGCCGCCAATCCCGCCTCAAAGGGAGGTGACACCTTTGGGTGTGTGCCGTAGTTTCACACGATTAACTGATAAGATTTATTCCACTGACTTGTTTCATGTTTGAGTCAACAGCTTTGTGAAAAATTGAGAAAAAAACATATTAGCATTTACATCGGTTAAATCGAAGATCTTTTAATATATCGTGCGTAAAATCCAAGATGTACAGGGCGTTCGTAGTGAACAACGGGGTCAGGGTGGAGAACAACCTAAACACGTTCTCTTTACCTCAAAAAGAACAGTTTTATCGGCCAGGAGTAACTAATGAATGTACCCTGGAATAATACACCTCCTTGGCAATGTAGCACTGAGGATTCATCAAAACAAAATTTACTCTGAAATGAAGTATGCAGTCGACTTGCCTCAGTGATACTAATACGAGTGTATGCACACGCGAGAGCAATCACGTTCATGATCAAACTTTCACGTCAGTTTACACGCCAATGAAAGTCTCAAGACTCAATTCTTAGTTTACTAACTAATCATCATTGGTAAAGAGGGAAACATGTCGAAGATGTGGAACCTGTACTTCTCGTTGACGAAAAGCATCTCGCTATGCACCTTGGAAACGGTCAACACGTTGTGGACCATACCATTACGCTTTGGGAATGATTTTGGGATAGCAACGTTTCCTTGAATGAAATTTACCTCAAACTGATCTAATTTATTTCTACCTCATACCTCGCACCCAGTTCCCTCTAAATTCAGTTTACAGTGCGTTTGGTAAATTTCTGCAGGTCTGTTTTTAGCTGCCTTTAGAGTTTTCTGTTCATTCAGATTCCAACATCGGAACATATTAAACGTAAAAATCGGCACCTGCTACCGGATGTAGTCTGTAAAAAGGAATGAACTGTTAAACGATGGTCAGCCACCATCGCGAGAAAACAAATGAGCAAAATTCAGTTTTCCCTAAAAGTAGAGCATTTTAAACAGAAATATTTTACATATATACTAAGCTGTTATGTACTTTCTTTCAAGAAAATATTCCAGGATTATACGGCAGTCCCGTTTTGGGGATTTTTTTTTACCAATGGTGTCACCTACCCTAAAAGGATAATGCAATAATGTATTGAATGCGTCTGCATTATAAAAAAGCTTTGTCGTTGTCAGTGCACTCCATGTCTATATCCAAAAGCTGCGGTATTTAATGAAAGTGTACAAAGGTGAAATATGCATTGCGATGAGGACGGACAAACACCAGACTACTGATGATAATCTACCAATTTCATTCTTTGAGGTCTACAACGTGCATCTTCTAGCCTTATGACGCTAACATATCAACGGGGTTCCTGCTGACGCAGCCTGTTTGGCTAGATGAAACAAGAAACGCTATACATGCATTCCTTCGTAGACTACGGCGTTCGAGACCACTCGGGAATTTGGATATTGTTCTTTGCTCTTGGGTGATGTTTTGAAACGCTGTAACTTCGTAAAACGAAAGCATTAAAAGGATTTGATTGCATAGACTTTAATTTGGAACGGGGTCCACAACACGCAAACTACTTTTGTATCAACATCTGATTGTCAGCCCAGCTCAGCTGCTCTTTTTAAACGATGATTTCTATTCCCCATTGCTTCTTCTTCTCCCAGATCGCAAAATACCTCAGCCGCTTACAATTTTTTGTACATCTCAAGTATTTGAATTTTGTATACGGAAGTATGCCTCGTCCTAAAATTTCAGCAGAGACCTAAAATTGCGCAGTCACAATCTAACAAAAGACACTGTTCGGCGAATTCGGCATTTTTTTTCAGATGCTGGTCCCATTTGATAAATATTTCTGTGAGCGAGGACAGCTGATTATGGGTCATTTTTTGTCGCAAATTGATGAATCTGTACATTCGTTAGTGTCGATGGTAAACATTATGTGTCGACATTAAGTGTTATATTGTTTCTTTGGTTTCACTAGCGGATGGGGGCAGGGAGGCATGGCCCCAAAAAGGAGCATGTTTTTACGAAAACATTTTGAGAGACTCTGTAACTTCTGCCTGCAAAATAGCCTCACCCCCCAAAAAGGCCGCAATAAAGGATTGGATTTTAAAAGAAATTAAATTCGAACTTTTCCCCGCAGAAAGCCCCCCCCCATTATAACTACAATGTTGGTTCTGAATCCCCTTTTAGTTTGAAAATGAGTAGCAAATAGTTGACTTTTTTGCGCAAAACTCTTCTCTTTTTCAATGGGAGTATTTCTTATAATCATTGAAGAGTACTTCGACACTTTGTGCTAATATTGATCAAGTTCTGAAATTTGTTGGGCAATTTGTAAATGCTCTTATGACTGAAAAATAAACAACAAAGAAAAGAACTGTAAAGAAAAAAAAATAAATTGTAACTTAATGGACAATATCCTAATGTTTTATATAAAACATTCCCGTTTCAAGTAATTGTGGATGATATACGAAAAACTATTGAGTCAGCAAAACTATCATCTGGAGATAAATATTCCCCATGATGACTGTCCACCTTACCTTGTCAAGTAGGAACAAATTGTCTCCTTAAGCTTGTAGACACCGCGGTAATCAGAGATGGATAATGCACTTCACCGTACACAAATAAGCAGCACAACCGCAGAAGATGGTCCAAAAGCCCCAGACAATAAGCCTTCGATTCACGACGAAACCTTGGTCTACTTTTTTCCACTTCTCCTTGCAGGAAATGCCAGTCGCTCCTGTAGGGCCCGGCTGTGAATGACATATAAATATCGCGGTGAGATGGGCTAGGACTTTTAACAAAAAGCAACGCCCACCTACCCCTGCCGCGCAAGCGCATAGAGTGGTTCGTGACCACTTTTTGTTTGTTTGTTTTTTTTTTTGGCTTTGCTTTTTTTCTCTCTCTCTCTTTCTCTTTTTTTTCGCCCAAGAGACGGCAGCAAGCGTCACGACAAGGAACAAGTCTTCGTGAGCGCAGATTTTGGCAAAGCAAACACAGTTCTTCATTGGTTACCAATCAACTAATTAACTATTGCGGCGTAGCCTTCCATTTGGTAGCCCGTCGCAGGGTAAGCATGGTTTGTATCGTTAGCTCTTTTCACTTCCCTTGACTTCGGTTATTTTGACTGAGACAGCAAATTCGGCATTGCTGATTTCGTAACCGTGCAATCATTTCGGCATGAAGGACAGAACGTATCAAATCCGCTACATGAATGGACTTCTGCTCTCCCTGGCAAATGGGGAAAACGTCTTTGTTTGCCCGTACAGCGATCTTCCGTTTATTACCAGTCCTTGATCAAACAAGCACTCATATTTTTTTCCTGCTCAATGTACTGGCCGCCTGTCGCCATCCATCATTTAAGACTTGCTCCTCATGTGATCCGTGACATGATAGAAGCGAGGCCTTCACACGAGCTGTCTACAATCGTTGCTGACTCGATCTCTAGTCTCTGGCTGGCGCATATATGCAAGACGCGCAGAGGAATCGTTGGCTGCCTGTTCGTGTTGCCTGGGGTCCATTTCGCACTTACTGTTCCAAGTGTCTGCAAATAAACCATCTCTCGGACATGAAATGACTTCCGCTCTATGGCAAGTGCATTATTATAGAACACAAACAGTGGCCCTTCGGGCACTTGCCGTATAAATGGCAATACATTTGTTAGTTTAGGCCTAACAGATCAAAGCCTGCATCGAGAAAAGGGGAAAAGACGCAGTCAAGATAATGGAAGCCTGTGTGTTGGTTTGGACAATGTGGTGCCAATACATACAACAAGGGTATAGCTTAAGGATAAAATGAGCGCGAATCGTTTTTAAATGTCTTCGGTTTCCTTTCAATTTCGTCTGCCACAAATAATAAGCTGCTCTGCCGACTCACAATTTCACAGATATAGTGCGCTTTTTGGTGGGGTCAAAAATTCACAGCCAGGTATTCTTTGAACCCCAATTATAAATCTATCTCGATCACGTGTTTTTTATTATGCCTACAAGAATTGTTATTGATTTAATATTTGTGTCAGTACCGATTAAACTCATTCGGAGTACATGCCTGCTGTATTTCTTGTTAGGAATTTTGAAGAGTGTTACCGAAAGTAATCAGCCACAAAACACAGTGCTTTTGGTTTTAGAAAGCTGAATCACAAAAAACAAGGGACTATATTTAGGCTACGTATCTTTATATGAAAACAGATGGAAACTACACGATCAATAACTGAAACAGATGATTACAAACATACATATAAATTACAGATATCACCCTTAAAAATCAAATTTGAGTTTATGAAACCGAATAAACTTTGGGAAGATTATTTACACAGATTAAAATGCCTTAAGGTACTTTGAATGATTTGGGGATTCTACTAGAAGAGAAATTCTATTGAGTTGGATGAAGAAGCGTGTCCTGTATCAATTTGTGCGTACCATGCAAAGATGTTTGACATACGATGTGGCTGCCGCGAAGAGTAGCATTTGTTTACTGAAAGTACCCCGACAGGGGTTCTGATTCTGGTTCACCCTCGTAGCAGTTCGCCATTGTAGTCGTAAGAAATGTTCTCTAAAGAAACCTAACGGCTTCACCCTACTTAGCCATCATCCGGCCAGCCTTACAATATTCACTCATCGATGTCTCCGATGAGCACAAATGTTAGCGTTGAAGATGGATCGTAGAAGCTATAACCTTTGAATAGATGGTCTTTGGTTGATAATTCTACTTCTTAACAAGCTGCAGTGACTGGATGTGTTTATCTAAACTAGTAAGTTGATATCTATGCAAAACAATGTAGTAGAAACAAACAAAACAAACGTGTTACCCGTGCAGTTTGTCAAAAACTACGCAGTTATTAAGACCCTAACGTTCTCATGATGGAAGCACAAAAACGCTTATTGGGACCGTGATTAGGCCTACATTTTCATACAATCCTAACTTATCTTAAAATATCTGTTCATTACAACTAGAAAAAAAATTAAAAAATGAGATTTTAAGTTGGATAAAATCGACAATCACTTTAATCCTGCCAAGTCAGTGCACGTTAGTTTCAAAACTTTTTTGCGCTGGAGAATTCGCTTTAGCATGCAACACACAGTGGAGCGGTGCTGCTATTAAGCATTCGGATCCCCCAAACAGATATCGATTTGGTGTCATGTAAAGTACCGAACCCCCACAATGAGGTAAACAACAGTGTCGACCTCAATTAGCTGGTTGTGGGCCCCCCTCTCTATTTCTTGTGCATCAAACGGACGGCAATTCAAAAATGTACAACGGCGTCTTAAAGGCCATGAGCCGCATCCAGTGTGTGTCTGATTTCAACAGATAGGCCTATTTGGAACAAGGTCGCCCTTCACACCCTTTTAGATAAGTCGCTTTCTTAGTTGTTGGAGAACCCCACCTGAAAGTTACCTTTATGCGTTCAGGTCCTAAGATAACAGAACAAATGGCGCATAAAAATAAAACACACATTCAACACATGCATTCAAACCTTCTTTTTCCACCCTTTTTCCAAAGTCTCTCTGTGACGGAGTTGTAACATACCCAACTATGATGTATGTACTTCACTTCACAAACAATGACATCGGATATTCTCTCGTGGCAATGACTGACAGTGAAGTCCTATGAAAAATCTCGACCGTCAAGTCTCGTCGTTAAAAGGGTCATAGCAATAAACACTCATCACTCTATGAAGTAAAATTACACATACATATATGTGTGAGTGTGTATTGGCCGGTGTGTCGTCTAGGCTACGATCAAAGCTCTCGCTGGAATTCTCACAGAGTGATACTCTGCAAATCTAGAGGGCCTGGTACAAACGCCCACGGGCCGCACTACTAGCGAACACCTGTTTGCGACCCAAGCCGATCTCTTGGTATTTTCCCCAGGCATTCTGAAAGGTATTGATTTCCCATCCGGATTATGTATGAGTCTGAGATTGCTTCCGCGAGCGGCAGAGCCTTACGGGACAGTCCCTTGGGTGTTACAATCCCCGTCTGTTTCCCGTGGGTTGGTGGACCCCTCACAACATCGATAAATCAAACGTCTATTATTTGAAATCAGCGGAACAGGTTAAATGTTGCAGAGAGTCATCGGCATGATCGACATCACAAACATGAAACCTTGATGTTGGAGCATGTCCGCGCTAAACAAGTAGTGTCTCAAAAATGATACCCAATCCATCAAACAGTAGCGTAAACCTGTGCTGGAAATAGGGGGGGGGGTTACGCGTGGGGGTGGGGAAAGCTGGAGGCAATGAGTTGCCCGGCCATGGAAATTTGAGAGGACTTGGTTCACCACAGAGACTATAATAGGGGGCTATATTTATGATAAAAACGTACATCTGTAATGTGAACCAAATTCCTGCAGAATGTTTCTTACATGAGAATCGTACATTTATAGCTTTTTAAAGTTGTTTTCGTTTTTTTAGTGACATTCCATACGTTTAGTCGTTGGGCAATGCTTAATATTCTTCGCAACTCACTTAATTTGTTTTGCGTATCACTAAAAATAAACGGGGAGATATTTTAATAGCCCACCCAACCTCAAAAGGTGGGGGATTTATACCGCAGCTCTCCTGGATGGACACACATGACATCAAAGTTGATACACCCGAAAATGTCAAGTGATGAAACACTGCTGTAAAAGGAGGGGTACAAACGGTAAATTATGTGGCGGCACATCGTTATCCGTAGCAAAAAATTCCGTGGAAGATCATTCGACATCTTAGACAGTTCTTCATGGGCCTATGGGCAGTTTAAATAATTGTTCTTGTAGATCTCAAACATGTTTTGTTTAAAAAGTAGCCATGCAAAGGAAACGTGATAAGTCTGTGACCTTTGAACTCATTATTGGTGACTCCTTTGTAAATGACATAACAAGTTCCAAACAACGGTAACAACAACACGCATTTTCAGGATGATTTTGTCAGTATTAATCCAATGGTCAATTTGCTGCTACAAACCTTTGGGAAAAGGAGGATTTGCGCAGGCTTATCTTTTTTGTAAGTGAGTCTTCCTCCATAAAATCACAGCACATTCAAAGAAAACGCTGCTTATCGACAGAATTTGGTGATGGCGTTTCCGTATTCTGTTTTTCCATGGAGCGCGTTGGACTTCGTAGGGGAAGCACCACTCGGTTTCAACCACTTAGAATGGATGCCATGGGGCGAAGCCCTGCATTTCCTATTATTTCTCTCCATTTGACTGTTAGTAAGAGCACTTTGTAAAAAGGACGGAACTCAACAAAGGAATTATCACTGACGCTTGTTCTCCTCTGTATCTGGCCTCTATGGTAAAGTAAAGTGTTAGCAAATATGTCTTGTTGTGTTTGAGTAAAAAACAGCTTTCTTTGAAAGGAAAGTGCAGCATTGATCCAGCACTGAAGAGCATGGTCTCCAAATGAAGTCTGACCACTCAAAATGACGACATCCTCCTTTTTAAAACTGCAGTCCATCAGTTGCATTTGTGCAGTTTGTCCCTTTAAAGTAACAAAATTCCACAAAATCTAAAGAAAAAAACCTGAAAATTTTTTCTACTTAGTGAATACTGTATATTCTGACACAAATAATATTTTGGGGTTTCAATTATTGATCAAAGTTGCTGAGTTATGTTTGGAATTCCAACTGAATTCAGCGTCGGTACACGCTCTTAGATTCAGTTAAATGCAGCTAGGCAATGTCATGCACTGAACCAACAAATCACCAGACAGTTTCGGCATCTAAGTTGATTTTTCGTGGTCGTATGCGTATCCACATCACAAAACACTTACAGGGGTGCGTATA